AACACAAAGAGTATCGCGTAATATAAAGGTGCGTTTGGGTGATTGTAATTCCAAAGAACCAATGTGTGAGACAGCCAAACCTGAACCATCACCAAGAATTACTTCGTCAGTACCATCATATTCAGAATGCCGCCGAGTCCATGAGCCATGTTTTTTCTTTTCCATTAGAAGAGGTTACGTAGTTGGCTGTGAAATTATTGGACTGTAGCTGAGGACAATACTTTGCTGTGTGGCCCAATTGTTCACAAAGTTGACAGCGCGGCTTGTAACGTTTTTGGCTGAAACTCGGCTTGCCAAACCCATTATTGGGACGGCGCACATTACTTTGGTAACCAGTTGGTTGGCGGGCTGGGCTTTGGCCTTGGTTACGTTGAGTCCCGTTCCATTTATAAAACTGCTTTGAAGAGTCACTTCTAGGTGAAGACCTTCCTTTGTTCATGTAGTTTGCCGTCATCACCATCTGCTGAGTAGCAGCTTCCATACGTCGGAGATATGATTCGTGGCCTACTAAGAGGTCGTGTAGCTCTTCGAAACCCAGTGATTTCTCCCGTGTTCGGATTGGCCCAGCTATCTCCCGGAAATCAGGCCCTAACCCATTCAAGACATATAGGGTTAAATCATCATCAGAAATTGGATGATCAATGATAGCAATTTCATCCGCCAAGGCCTTTACAGCATGTAGGTAGTCAGAGATTGACCGATTTCCACGTTGAATCAAGGTGAGTTCCTCCTTGAGTTGCATAGCCCGTGTTCTTGAACGGCTAGCATATAATGTTTTTAGCTTATTCCAAGCCTCGTGTGATGTTTTTGCTGTGGCTATGAGCGGTGTAATTGTGGGAGATTTAGAGGCTAGGATGGCACTACGGATAAGTTTATCCTGTCGAACCCAATGGGATTTGTTTAGTTCGGCAGATGGAGTGCCGACAGGAGCAGGGCAAGAGGATGTACCATTGACATAGTCAAGCAAATCATAGCCAATAAGGAGTGCTTCAAATTGAGCACGCCATTGAGGGAAAGTGGAAGGTGTTAACCTTTCATTGATTTGGGCAGTGATATTGAGGGCAATAAGTTGTTTATCAGTGCCAGAAGAAGGTTGAGTGTTTAGTGGGAGGTGATCTGAAGAAGAAGACATAGTTTGGATCTTAAGCTCTTGCGAGAATGGTGGCTCTGATACCATAAAGAGAAAAATAACACTGCTGTTTTTCAATGAATGATTTCACACTTTACTGATGAAATAAGAGCCGACTTATATACACAGCTAGGAGAAACTATCTATTGCAATTTACATCAATTAGGCTAAAATTATGTAGCAATTATAGAGTTGTTAGAGTCAATACAGCAATTACAAAATTATGGAGAGTTGATTTTGGCTGCTGATCTCGCTTGATTGTAGGGTAAATGTGCTTATGTTTTGTCTTGGCCTTGATTCTTGCAATCTGTCCTTATAGCCATTGCCATCTCATATGCGTTATGCCTACCAGTGATCATTGTAAATGATATGATAGAGTTGGAGAAAGAGAAATTACTCAGGGTACTTAAAGAATTCAAGAATTCCTTGCGGTAAGTGACACTCACCATAGAGATTGAATATCTCATAAAAGTTCTCTTGTATCGGTTATTTTCTAGCAGCCAACTAAAAATAAAAATGGAAATTTGTCATTAGTGTCACTATTGAGTGGAATCTTCACAAATTTATTATGGGAGTGGATAGAGAATGAAATTAATTGAGTCAAAGCACAATAGATCTTGTGTTTGTAATTGAAGGTATTTATTGTCATACACTACATGAATAAAGTTTTAAAAAAGGAAAGTAATAAACATAAAACTTATATTGCCAAGAAACCCGATATAAACTATTCAATTTCCCCCACCCCACCCAATCACCTTCTTGTTTAAATCTTAAACCTAGTCAATTCAGAACTAACACTAGGATTTTTTAATGATGCCACAATTTTTTGCAAGTGTATGGGGGTGTTGATGGGTCATGAGCTCATGTACTTCTGTGCTACAATCATTGGCAGATGAAGTTTTGGTCAGGAAAGATAGTTAGATGCATCTTCTCAGTGACATTGTAAAAAATAGGTGAACCATCGAAATTATGATCAAACCAAATCTAAAAAATCATGGATCATACTACACGTACATAATCATTTACCTAATCTTTTACCTACTCCTCACATCATTTGCGTGGGACCTCGGTTCGGATTATTAAATTACACATGGGGCCCGCATGTTTGTGAGGGGGGAGACACAATTCGGTACACCCCCCCCCACCCTCGGTACAAACATCTTTATCCAAAAATCATTAGCCTCAACATCTTCACCGATAATTGGTGTGACATTATACTTGTAATGACCCATCATATATGCCCAAACCATTAACTCATTACATATTGTCAATTTAGAGGAGCATATGTTCTCTTACCACTCATGGCTTTTATCGCATCTCCCAATATTTGAATTCAAGAACTCTATCATACAAGAGATTTAAGCTGAATCTTGAAATCAATTGAGTAAGTCTTCCAAAGTAGACAATACATAATGAGTTAATGGGTTAGACATAGAGGCCGGGTCGATACAATGACGGTCTTCATCAAAATCTGAAAATTATTCAAACTCCTAGTCAAAAATAGGTAGACCATCATAAATTTGATCATCGTGATCTACAAATTTTAGTGCCTTAATATCACCATTAGTTATGGAATATTAGATCCGCAATGACGACGATCCAGCGACAAACTGGCTTCATGACTTCGATGGTGAATGTCACAATTTTTGGAATTGAGTTTAAATGCAACATTTTAGAAATTAACAGTAATGTTGAGGAAGTAAATTTTATGGATCTAAATTATGACAATTATGATGGTCCACCTATTTTTGACGATATTAAATCATTTTCAGATTTTGCTGTTGACGGTTGTTATGGCCCACCAATTTACACGAATAAGTTTGATGTTGATAAATTTCTAGATTTAGGTGATGGTAGTTATGATGGTCCACTTATTTTTAAGCTGGCATCGAGGAAGATGCTCCTGAAGAGTGGATTGAATTATTCAATATGTTGGAAGAGAATCATGATTGAGAAGTATATAACCTAACTTATTTATCATAACTTTTGTCAATCAATGAGATTAAAATACCTTACGAAAATGTTCGAATAAGTAAAATCCGACAAAGAATTGATTCAGGCGTAGTGGAGGAGCCAAATCGCCTTAAGGGAGCAGCAAAATATACATGTATTATGTATTTAAATTCAATCTTCCTACATAGATTTTTAATAAAATCAAAATGTTGTGGGATCAGTCGACACTCCCAGCCCCTATGGCTCCATCATGCTTAGACGCCAACAGCGGAAGAAGAACACAGCCATTAATTCTACATATATTGATCAGTATTGGGATGTTTACGAAGAACACATAGCCATTAATGCAGTTAACTTCATCCAAAGCTATTTTAAGTAATCAAATTCAAGTATTATTCAAGATAGAAATCGATGTGATTCTTTGGAGGAAATTCTATTAGCTGCCCAAGTTTCTCGGAATTTTCAGAATAAAGACAAATGCAATGGAACTTATGCTACAGTCGACTTAGCTAGTGAGTTCTACTGTTTCACACGGGTAGCCGCTAACAATTAAAAAAAGGGTCAGACGATTGTGTAAGGAACCGACCTCTTGAGACAAAGTCCCAAAAAGAGGTATTTGATTGGCGATGATTTACAATTGGAAATAAACAGAATGTCTCCAAAGGACGCAAACACACGAATATTAAAAGAAGTGTTTAAATCTAAGTTAAGAAATTAAAATTACATATTCTCTATTTGAAAGTGTTTGATTCGGGGTCCTCTATTCTATGTTTTCTCTTCCTTTTTATATTCCTTTGATGACTTCCTCGTGATAAACTGTTTGGAAACTGCTTGATTGTTTTATAACTACCCACTTTCTTTATGGTAGCTAACTTGTCGTGGAATTGCCGTCTCTAACTACTGTCATTACTCTTTGTCGTTCAACCGCCTTCAACTAGGCTCCTTGAATCGTGGAATGTGATAAAATTACTCAATAACTGTTTTAATAACTGTTATTCTGGACAATCATAATATTTTATGTTTGCTAAGATCCTGGGCGATTCGAAAGTTTGGCGCGAGAACGGGGTCATCGCTCTGGGCGATCGTAAGGCACTCCATTCGCTCAGATTCTGAGTGTCTTGCAAGTTTGGGCGATGATGTCACTGTGTTTGTGGGCTTCCACTGCATTTATCAATAATTTTGTTTGGATCTTTATCCTGGACTCCCCAATTAGGTTTCACTCTTTAGGCTATTTGATTTAGGCTGCAATTTTAGTCCCCGTTTGACTCCCATTTTTCGAAGTAAAAATGGGTGGAATAGTAGTTTTTTGAAAAATGAATGGTTGAAAAAAGAAGTAAAAATTTTCAGTTTACGTATAATATTATTTTATGAAAGATTGTGTGGTTGAAAATAGGAGAGAGAAAAATGAAACGTAATATAATTTAATGTAATAGGGGCCAAACAGGGGCTTAGTCTGTCAACACCTACTTTTTTGAGGCTTTGGATGACAAAAGAAGCATGCAAATTTTGAAATAAATCTTCTCCAACCGAAGAGAATGATGAAGGGGGATTATTGACGGCCCAACTTCGGCTCTTCTTTTAATTATATTTCATTGATTAATTTGAATATTCTTTCACTTTAACTAAGGGCGTATATGTCCTTCGATAATATCAAGGTTTTTCTTTACCTAGAATCTCTACATAAAAACCTTATGCTTTGTCATTTTTTTGGAGGATTTGAATATTGATAAAATTGAGAATTTTCTCATATTCTGGTTGAATTTCGTTATTCGTTGACACCCAAACATCTGGTATTTGTAGAAACAATGGATATATGGAATGTGTTGAATCTTCCACACTCAGCGATGCATGAGACGGCAGCCGATGGGAATAATTAGGTATAGTGGGCCTTGATAATTTTTGATTTAGCAACAATTATTTTAGGATAAGGAAATACATAAATACAACGTAGTAAAATTATCTATCATAAGATATCGCAATAAATGAATCTATCATGAAAGTCTACTTATGGGATTTATTGCTTTCTCAAGCATTACAATTAAAAAATAAATAATAATTTACAACACTGTATAAGGTCGACTAAACATGGAAATAATGTACCAAAATCTACCTTTGATGGATGACCAAGACGATTGACTGTTGAAGTGAAGCTTTTATGGTAGCAAAGGCAAGAAGTGGTTTGGAGCAATTGGACCTCTCGAAACGCATGTGGATAAGGATTCAAATAAAGCGTGCAAAATTTTGAAACAGATTATATTAATTTTTCGCGCTTAGGACATAAAATATTGCTGAAAGTTACCAGGTCCAATGCTGTTACATTCTATAGATCTGAGGAGAACCAGATGCAGAGATTCCACTACAAAGGATCGTGTGTTGTACAAGTTCTGCCTCTTTAGCATTCACCAGAACTCTCCACAGCTGCATATTCCGTTCCTAAAATGATGAAATCGACTTGTGTCTCTAACGGTTATTTCTCTCTTAGTGATGATTGTGATGTATTTTAGAGCAGCATGGCAGTCACCACATACCCTCAAATTCTTGGTAACAATAATAGGCCTGTTGGGTTTTAAGCTAATTATTCCAAATGCAACAGCAAGTTTCTCACTGTGATGAAGTAGAATCTTTTCCTTCTCCTCCTCTTCAACATCTTGGTACACAAAAGTAGACTCTGGTTTATACCCCAATTCTTTCATTTCTGCCAAGAATTCCTCTAATTTCTTGTTTATTTTACCTGACTCGGGATGAGACCCATCTCCTCCAACAAAAGCATGAACAATCCCATTTACTTCGATCCAACTACATCCTGGGCTCTTCTTAAAGCCCAAATTCTTTTGCTTGATTCTGACATGCGCAGCATCATTCCATCGTTGAGCAGTCGTGTACAAATTAAATAAGAGGACAAAATTTCCAGTACCTTCAGGTTCCAAGCTCTGGATCCTATTTGACACTTCTTCTGCTAGTTCAACATTCTTGTGGATCCTACAAGCAGCAAGTAATGCAGTCCATATTTGAGCATCAGGTTCAAATGGCATTCCACTAATGAAATGCCGAGCTTCGTCCAAAAGACCAGCACGGCCCAATAGATCCACCATGCAGAAGTAGTGATCCATCCTAGGGACAATATTATATTCTTGAGTCATGGAGAGAAACCAATGCTTTCCTTCATTTACAAGCCCTGAATGACTGCAAGCTGATAGGAGAGCAATGAAAGTTATGTCATCTGGTTTTTCGCCTACATTCAACATTTTATGGAACATGGAAATTGCTTCCCTAGCAAGTCCATGAATGCCATAACCAACCATCATTGCATTCCAGGAGACTACATCCCTCTCACACATTTTATCAAAGACAAGCCTAGCCATATCAATCTTGCCACATTTAGAATACATGTCAATAAGAGCATTACAAATTGAGACATCTGCTGTGAATCCACACACTATTGAGTAGCCATGACCACATACCCCATGTTGCAGAGCTGCCAAATGAGAGCAGGCTGGCAAGAAACCCATCATGGTTGCCAATTCCGGTTCTATCCCTGCTTTTCGCATTTTGAGAAAAATTTGCAGAGCTTCCTCTGCATTACCATTATGAACACTGCCTGAAATTATAGCACTGTAAGAAACTGGATCTTTCAATGGCATTTCCTCAAAAAACCTGATAGCATCATTGTTCGGCCCACACTTTGCATACATTGAAAGAATTGTGTTACTCACCATTAAATCGCAATAATAGGCCAGTTTAATTGTGTAACAATGTATCTGTCTCCCTATATTCAGGTCATTCAGCTTAGCACAACCACGAATAACAGTTGCAAGCATAACAGGAGAAGGACTAACAGCAACCTCCACCCTCATTTTTCGAAACAAATCTAACCCCTCTGTTGTGGCATGGCAAGTGACAAAAGCTCCAATCATAGCAGTCCAAGTGATCTCATTCTTGAACCTCAAGGCACCAAACATCCGCTTTGCATAAACCAACCAGCCACATTTCCCATACACATCCATAAGTCCAGTTCCAACTACTTCCTCACCATCAAAACCCCTCCTCAAGCAAAACCCATGTATAGCTTTTCCTTCCCTCCACCTAATTGCCTCCCCAATTGCTGGCAGAATTGCCGCAACAGTAGATGAATTGGGATTTACCCCCATATGTTGCATCTCTAACACCAATCTAATTGCATCCCAACACAACCCATGTAACGAAAACCCAGAAATCATTGCGTTCCATGCGACAACATCTCTCTCAAGCATTCTGTCGAACACCTCCATTGCTTCCTCCAAACATCCACACTTCATATAAAAATCAACCAACGCAGTACACACATATACATCACAGCCAAGATCGAGCCTTTTCACGTGTCCATGAATCTTCACACCATTTTCCACATCCTGCAATGCAGAACAAGCCTTTAGTACAAAAGGGTACGTAAATTTTGTCGGCATTACACCAGAGTCCACCATTTCATAGTACAAATCAATGGCTTTCTCAAAGGGACCATCCCATGCATATGCTCTGATCATTTGGTTCCATAATATGGTCTTATATTTTCTTTCTGAGATATGTATCGAGTTGAAGACGCGTTCTGCAAGTTGTGGCTTGTTGCATGAAATGTAGAGGCGAGTGAGCTTATCCAGTAGCAGTGATTGAGTACTACTAAAGTCATTATTGCTTAATTTGAGGAGATGCTGATGAATTATTTTGCCATGTTTGAGTGATTTTGATGCGATACACGCTTCAAGAAGCTGTACATAATTATTACACATCTCCTCTTTGGGAGTTTTTATCAGAAAGGTGGACTGCTGTCTTCTCAGAGCATTAATATGAGTTGCCAGTGAGTTCTTGAATTGAAAAATGTTTTTAATTTTCAATTTCTTTCAGTATGTCAATAAGTTGACTTTGAAGGGACTACTTTGTATGTATTTGTTTCAAAAGGGATCGAGCCACGGCTGCCCAAGCGGCCGATATCGATTCCATCCGGGCCACGGCTCGACCTGCATTATGTGAGCTGAGCCGAACTTTTAAGGGATTTTTTTTTCTTTTTTTTTGGGTAAGTAATGGCCACTAAATTAGGTCGCCACGAACAGCAAATAACACAAATAAATGACGACAATTCAACAAACGAGCCGAAATCCCATCTACAACGAGAAATGATACAAACTTATGGGCCACGGGAATAAAGCTACAAGGACCATAGTTAATCGAAGCAACAAAAAGAAAAATGAAAGAAATACTGAACAATAAAGCTTCGCTGTGTGCTAAATTAAAATCCAATTTAGTAGCTTAAAGAGATTTGCATTCAGCCACCTGCCAAGATTCGGATAGATGAGACGAGTAGGTGCTTGCTCGACACTATGCAACTCTCTCTTAAACTTGTCACACTTTTTATTCATTCTTTTTGTAGAAGCAACAGCTTACTACTCACTTATCATCCACACATTTTGTAAAATCCTGCTGATAAGCATTTAAAAGCAAGCACTAAATCCGTGCTTGTTTAAAGAAGAAAAGACAACTTCACCAAAAAAAAGAAGGGAAAATCCATCTATATATGTTGAAATTGTCAAACTTCACAGGGCTGCAACAATAAAAGATCTCAATAGCAAAAATAAGTTTAAAAGCTAACTGATTACCCAGACTATACAACAGTATCGATAATAGCATAATCTCGAATATAATCATTCCAAATCTCAGTTGCAATAGAATCTCGCAATTGTGAAGCATCTTCTAATTCTTCTGTTCCAAAAGGGTTGTCCGAAAGTTGTGTTTCAGCAGGTACATACGGCTGTTCGATTTCTAGAGGTGGCATTGGATCTTCAAGTTGTAACACGGATTCCTGTTCATACATTTGAAAAATCCAGTCATCATGCTTCTCTCCACGAATGTAATTGTGTAGGGCACATGCTGCTACTACTAGCTTCACTTGCGTTGTCAAAGGGTAAGGAGGAGCCGACATCAACATAGGAAAACGTTCTTTCAAGGCAGCAAAAGTACGATCAGTAACATTGCACAAAATGGAATGGCGTTGATTGAAGAGCTCTCTAGCATCTCGTGGGTGGAAGCCACCACCAAATTCAAGATGACTGTAAGAGACTCCAGGATATGGAGCAATGAATCCAGGGATATTTGCATATTTGCCATCCACGAGGTAATATTTACCTGTATTGCAATGTTATTTCCAAATAAATATGCAGAACACTTCACCAGTTCGTACATCAATGGCCATCATGGAAATTAATTATCACTTTATAATTCATATACACATTAAAGAAATTGCCAGCTATAATTTGGTTGAAAAAATGGAGAAAGGACACAAGTTAATCCATAAATGATTCAGAAATTATAGTAGCAGAAACATCAAAAGAGTTCTTTTGTAGGAGCTCTTCGATGATATAATTAATCAGATAAACATGTTCTTTAAGAAAAAGGAATCAATTAAATTTCAATGTTCCTTAAGCACTAAAGTGACTTCGCTGTAGATCATGAACATACCGTCAGGTACATCGAGTTTGTTACGCCTAGTTAGAGCTGAATTTAGGACCCGCATATCTGGGGCAGAGCCTTCCCATCCAGCAAGAACATAATGGAATTTCATGTCGAATGAGCATGCTACCAAAACATTTTGCGAAAGAAAACCATTCATATTTCGGAAAGGTCCTTGCTCGTCTACACCTACTGTCACTGGGAAATGTATGCCATCAACTGCTCCAACACAGTTCTTGTTGAAAATTGTAAAATATAAGCCAATGAATTTCAGGAAAAGAAACCAAACAAAATTGAAGTTTATCAGAACTAACATTACCAGAAAATAAGGGAAAAATCGAGGATCCTCTCGAATTTCTTGTGAAACTTCAGAATTCGGAGGCTCAAAGAAATCTAATGAGACAGCCATAATTGCACTCAGAACATTGTTGAAATGACGACTAATGGTTTCACCTGAGTATCTGAAGAGCTCCTGAACTGCTCGAGTCCGTAGATTATGACCAACTATGAACATAAATATTGCTAACTGCTCCTCAATCTTAATTCTATTTGTGTGACGTAGTAGCCCTCTGGTTTGTAACATATCACACAGCTTGTAGAATACAAGTTTATCCATGCGAAAATTCTCCAAGCAAAGTTCATTTGGACCTTTAAGAACTTCATCTACAAATTTGGTACCATTAGAGACTATAGGATGGCCTAATTCCTTGGGAATGGAAGCTTCAAAGCCACCATCTTTTTCATCTTCCAAGCTCTCCATGGTAAAGCCACTTGCTACACTTCCCTTGGCTATGGAGAAATGTCACAAGCCGATAACAATGTAGGACATAGCTTCAACTTGGCTTTCACTGTTCCTGGAAAATAAGGTTAGATGCAACAGTAGCCACAGAGTGCAACTGAGACCAATCTCAGGAAAAAATTTACAGCATTTAAATACTTGTTTACAACACGTCAAAAGACATGAGTGCTTTCATGATTACTCAATTTTGGATAAGAAGCTATCAAGCCTAAAAAGCTCCAAAGAAAAACATAATTCTTAATCTGTTTCTACAGGAGACAGTGTTGCAGGAAATCATAGAAATTTATCCAAAATTTATTAGGTATCGAATCTAAGGAGTGATTTCTATTACTAGTCGGGCCTGAGAGATTCCTGGAATCCTTTAGAACTTAAGTGCTGATTTCTATTCTTATTCTGAAAGTTGCACAGCTGCAATCTTCTCGAGAGTTGAGACTATACAAAAATCAAGAAATAACGCTGCTCTTTAGTACATTTCTAAAATCTGAAAATAGATTATCCGAGAACGAGTTTTCACTTGTACACAGAGAAAAAACTAAGAAGCGCTTAAAACTTCATAATGAGCTGATATTCATATTAAATCAGTGGAACAGGCTAAAGCTAGAAAGATCATCAATGCAGCCTTCAACTCCTAAAATCATTATATGATCTCTATAAAAAAAAAAAATCACTCAGCATTCCTCTGAAGCATTTAATCAAATAGATCATATGCATTCTACCAAGTTATCACAGCAATAAAAGTGAATGACCAAATCAGAAAGCCAATTATTACCTCCACAAGTTATAGTTCAACTCAAATAAACAATGCCCTTATGAGAGAATTTGGTGTTAGATTACCAATCATCATACGCCATTCATTTACCTCACAATAAAAAGCTCCTTCAAAACCGCTATCGGAATACAAAATTTCTCTTCATTTACTCGAGGAAATTTCAATTAGTTGCCAAACAAATGCATTTAAAGTTAAAACTTTTCATTCATTTAAAGATTTTTTTTTTCCCTAGAAAATAATGCTATCTTGGTTTTGCTTTCATTTTAACTATTTAACACCTCACAATTACCGTCATTCTTGAAACCCAAATTACAGTGACAAGTGAAAGGAACAAACCAAGAAACAAAAAACTTCTGACACAAAAGGTGGGGAAAAAATTCTAAACTATACAATATGCTTTCATTTGGACCAAAATCAAGAAATTAAATTCACAATTAATGCCCAATATTAAGAAAAGAATAAACCCAAAAAAAAAAAAAAAAGACTGTCATACCAGAACATCAGTTTTACAGGAAATCCCTCGAAATTAACAAATTATCTTCTCGCGTCGCCTGGAAAAATTGAGTGCGCGCTGTTCAAGAGAGCTGTGTGCGTATGAGAAAGCAAACGAAAGAGTCGGAATTTTAAATAAGTCGCGTTTCATTGAGTTTCTCAAAGTAACCATGACAACAATTTAATTGGGACCTGACCTGAATTAATTTGAAGTTTTGATTTGCCAGTGTA